GGGGCTGCAGGGGGGCGCGGGGCCTGCGCGAGTGTGGAGTGGCGAGGGGAGCGCAGGGTCCAGCCCTAGCCCCGGTCCCCGGCCCCGCCCGGGTGCGGCGGGGGCCCCCGAAGGCCGCTCGGGTTGTCTGCGGTGACCCCGCTCACGACCCGGCACGCGGACAGGACAGCCAGGATGGCGCCGCAGAGGCTGCTTGGTGCTCTCCACGCGGACCTTGGCCTGTCTTCAGTGGTGCTTTTTCTGTGAGCGCGCTGGTTTGGGGATACAGCGACGAAAAACAAAGTCGGGTCTTCATGACGCTTCCATTTCAGTGGGGACGGGAGAGGGAAGAGAAAAACACATGGGTATATACGGCGACATGTATATTTACATACACCAGGGCGAGGGGCTGCTTGTGCGGGCGTGCTGTTTTAGGCAGGATGCTCCGGGGAGGCCTCCCTGCTGTCGTGAGAATCCTGAGGGTGGAGCAGGGACCCTTGAAGCTCTCGTGGGGAGAAAGAGGGTCCGGGATTTCCAGACAGAGGGGGCAGCAAAGGCACAAACCCTCCCTGTCCTTTGGGTCTGCCTGTGCTGGAGTTCCCTAATCCTGCGTCTGGAGTAGTGTTCCCTATGCCCATCTTCCATCTTCCTTCTGGTTATCTTCTTTTTTTTTTTTAAGTTTATTTATTTGTTATTGTGGTAACACTGGTTTATAACATTGTGTAAATTTCAGGTGTACATCATTATATTTCGATTTCTGTGTAGACTACATCGTGTTCACCACCCAAAGACTAATTACCATCTGGTACACATGTGCCCTTTTACCCCTTTGCCCTCCCCCCCCCCCTTGGTAATCACCAGTCTATTCTCTGTCTGGATGTGTTTGTTGTCGTTTTTATCTTCCACTTGTGAGGGAAGTCGTGTGGTATTTGACTTTCTCCATCTGACTTATTTTACTTAGCGTAATACCCTCAAGGTCCATCCATGTTGTCACAAATGGCAAGATTTCATCTTTTTTTGTGGCTGAGTAGTATTCCATTGTGTCTATATACCACACCTTCTGTACCTGTTCCTCTGTCCACGGGCACTTAGCTTGTTTCCATGTCTTGGCTATTGTGAATAATGCTGCGATGAATATAGGGGTGCGTATATCTTTATGCATTTGTGTTTTCATGTTCTTTGAGATGTCACCTCACACCCATCAGAATGGCTATAATTAACAAGACAGGAAATAATAAGTGTTGGAGAGGATGTAGAGAGAAGAGTACCCTCATACACTGCCGGTGGGAATGCAAACTGGTGCAACCACTATGGAAAGCAGTATGGAAATTTCTCAAAAAATTAAGAATAGAGCTACCATGGGATCCAGCTATCCCACTGCTGGTTATCTTCTGAACACTCATCTTTTTCTGCAGTTATCTGGTTTGATATGTTTGCTGGTTCACGGTTTCTCTTCTCACTGGAATGTAAGCCCTCAGGGCTGAGGGAGCTGATTGGTGCCTGAAGTGTAATAGAAGCTCTTTTTTTTTTTTTTTTCTTTTTTAAACAAACTGACTTGCTTCATGAAATTTGTCAATTTACTTCCCCTCTGTGGGTCAGCTTCCTTGTCATTAAAATGAGCAGTTGGCGCTACGCCAACCCTTTACTGTCCCTTTCTGCTCAAAAATGTTAGTTCTCCTCAAGATCGTAACTGAAATGACCACTAGAGCATCATCAGTTTTCTGACGTTTGCAGTGAGGACTTTGCAGTGAGGGTTTTCATTGTGCAGGCTGATCTTACGTCTAATGCAGGGACGCTGCCCTGGCTCCCTGGGCACATGCAGCAAGGAAGCACACAGTGGGCTCTACTCTCGTGAAGCACATCCCGGGGGAGAGACATGGGGAAGAGAGACAGTACAGGAGTAACAGAAATAAAGCGGGTGATTTCGGACAGTGGCTAGTGCTCCGGGTTCAGAGGAGGGCCCTCTGAGAGGTGGCACGCAAGCTGAGACCTCAGTGACGGGAGGAGGCAGCCACTCAGGGATCTGGAAGGACACGTGGTCCCGGGAAGGGGTGAGAGCAAGAACTCAGCTCCTGAGGCCGAAGCAAGCCTGGCTGCTTGAGAGACGGAGAGAAGACCGTGCTCTCTGGACTGGAGTGAGTTTGGGGGCAGGTGCTAGGAAAGGAGGTCCGAGAGAGAGGCCAGGTGCAGCTGAGCCTGTACACCTCGTGGGGAGCAGTTTGTGCGGAGGAAGCCAGAGAAGCCATCCATTATTGAACATCTCACTCCTGACTTGAACTGTACATGTGAGCCCAAATGTTCCAAAGGCCCACACCCACGACCACCCAAAGGGCCACCAGAGGAGCAAGGCGGGCATGTCTTCAGAGACGGCTGACATTCAGCTGGGCTGCAGGGCCATTTGGTTACTTGGTTCTTCGTTTTCCTGGCTGTGCGTGAAGCACGGGAAAGATTGCTTGTTGTGCTCTCATCTCTGTTCCAAGCCACCCTAGGCTCCCCTCCACTCAGGGAGGATTGCTGGGGGAAGAAAAGGAAAAAGCAGAAGTTGCTGGAAGACATCTTCTGTCTTGTGAAAGCCTAGGTCCCTTGAGGGAATGATGCTGGGTGTCCCGGAGGGGAGGGGTTCCTATGGTGACAGAGATTCTCCATGAGCCAATCACCAGTAAGCAATGAGAGCTTTCTCTGCAAAAGACCCCTGTGACCCTCAAGTGACCCTGGGCAGTGGGGCAGGGAGCCCCCCAGATGAATAAGATTGGGGTTCCCATCGGTTTAGCAGAGGACAGGGTGTGAGTTAGATAAGATTGGATTTAAAAAAAGAAGAAATGGGGGCGGCCCCATGGCTTAGCGGTTAAGTGCTCTCGCTCCGCTGCTGGCGGCCCAGGTTCGGATCCTGGGCGCACACCGACGCACCGCTTCTCCGGCCATGCTCAGGCCACGTCCCACATACAGCAACTAGAAGGATGTGCAACTATGACATACAACTATCTACTGGGGCTTTGGGGAAAAAAAGGAGGAGGATTGGCAATAGATGTTAGCTCAGAGCCGGTCTTCCTCAGCAAAAAGAGGAAGATTAGCATGGATGTTTGCTCAGGGCTGTTCTTCCTCACACAAAAAAAAAAGAAGAAGAAGAAAAAGAAATGAGTCCATTCTTACACATCTGTTTGTGGTTGTAAGTTAATATCTGGTACATAAATAGCGATGAATACAGTGATACGGGAAGTTTCAGGCACTCTGGGAGCATACAGGTGGGCGATCCGTCCCAGGCTAGAGGTGGGGAGAGCCTTTCAGGCATCGTGAACTGATGAAAAGCAAAGCTCCGGGGCAGGGCTTCCTGCCTCCAGGTGACTGCCCGCTGCTTAAAACGCTGGGACCCAGGCCAGGCTACGGAATTGCTTTGCAGCTCCATGTTCTTGTCCGTAAAGTGGGACCTTGTCATCTTGTTATGAGGATCAAATGTCTGTTAATATATTGTCAATGCTGTAAAACAGGGCTTGGCGCTTAGTATGTACTTAATAAATATGAGCTAATCATGACAATATGGACCTTAGTTCACATGGCAGGGAAAGGTCAGCGTCGTGGGTGGGGGGGCTGTCTCAGGCAGAGGGGCCGCAAGTGAGGCGATGAGGAAGAGCGGATCCCTTCCAGAACTGCATTGTGTGACCTTAGCATGTAGAATATTCTAGATCAGTGATTCTCGATGAGAGCAGAAGCCCAGAAGATGTGCAGAGCAGGAAGGAGTGATTTTGCCCTCCAGGAGACATTGGGCAGTGTCTCGGGACATTTTTGGTTGTCACACTGGGGGTGAGAGGCTACTGGCATCTGGTGTGTAGAGGCCAGGGATGCTGCTAAAGACCCTGCAGTGCACAGGACGGCCCCCAGGACCGATTGATCCAGCTCCGAATGTCAGTAGTGCCGAGGCTGACAAACCCCACTCTAGGTGGAGTCATCAGATGTGTCTGGAAAGGTAGCTGGGACCCCATCACACAGGACCTTCAGTCTTGTGCCAGGAACGGAATTAAACCATGAAACGCTATCCGATTTCTGTGTAATTGAAGATCGTTTTGGCTGCAGCGTGGAGGGTAGATTAGGATGGTGGCAGGGGACATAAGCATTTGGGTTTGACATGTTTAAGAAGCAAAATTGACAGGGTTTGGTGATTGAATGTGGGGAGTGTCAAATGACAAAAATAATACAATTTAGGAGCCGGCC